CCAGTGACAAGTCCCTACTTGGGAGCGGCTACGTGTGCTGTGTTTTTGGGAAATTGTAGTCGGTAAGTTTGATACTTTATTTTACAACTTCTGTGATTTCACTACTATTTCTACTTCCTGTTATCTTCTTCGTCATCGTCTTTTTCACCAGTAGAAACAGCCGGTTGTTGATCACGTGACTCCCGTGATGTGAAAAAAGTGTTTCCATTGCAGTTTTGCRAAAAACACCAATTTCGATACGGCCGAAATACCACCTCATCCTAGCGCAAAAACATTTTGTCGAAAAACGTAATTTTTTTCTGAAATTGACGTGTTTCCATTGAGTAAATTTATTTTTCRAAATTCCAATTTGTGCATTTTCATGGTCAATGGAAATGCACTTTATTATGGTACATAACTTAAATATACGTATGCCTGAGAAACACATAATATTGCCCCTTTAACTATTTTAATTGAACAATCTGGTTTCTAAAGATAAAAATATTATCAAAGATAAAACTATTTAATTTGGTGTGTGCATGTAGGTAAATTGACAGTAAGATTTAGAAACTTGTMCAGGATGCACCACCTGAAAACTTGCCAAGAGGAACACAGGTAGAGCCAGCCCTGCGTGTCTGAAAGTTCACTGTGGTGAGTGGACTCTTTATGAGCTTGGTACCTCTTTAACATCATCTCTCTCTGCTGCCTCCCCTGCCAGCTCTGCCGCCGTGTCGCTCTGAATGTTCTCCTCTCCAGTTTGACCATCTGTGCTGTGATCCTTCCTCTCGGCTGAGTTCAGCTGCTCTTCATCCTTATCTTCATCTTCACCCTCCTTCTGTAAATTCCAACATGAAAAAAGAATTTAATTATTTGTCTTTATAGTTTTTGTTGTATAAAAAAAATGCATTTTTTCAGTCCAAACCTCTGCTTGTTCTCTTTTGTCATCTGGTACCGTCACATCATCTTCTCCCTGTTTTTCATGTTCTTCTCTTGCCTCCTCTCCCTCATTTTCTTCATCTTTATCAGCAGCCTCCTCCTCCGTCGTTTCAGGTTGCTGATTATTTGTCTCCTCAGGCTGTTGATCCTCCATATCCTCTCCCTGCTCTCCTTCCCCTTCATTTTTATCTTCTGTCTCCATTGTTTCCTGGTTCGTGGCTTCATCGAGGTCTAATGGATTCTCATCTGAAAAGATGATAAAACACATTAAAACTTTGCTGATTTCAGAAAGTATAATTCACAGGTTGTACATATACATCCCAGGGTAATTTTCTTTCACCTTTTAGAAGACAAAAAAATAAAAATAAAATGTTAAAACTGTATGGTCACCTGCTTAAACGACATTTTTTATCAAAACACAAGAGTGATAAATTAATTTAAAAAAAGATTACAAGTTCCTAAAACCTCATCTAATAAAGCAAAGCATTAACATGTATTTATGTATTAGATGCCACAAGTTCAGCTGTTCTCACCTCCATCATCATCGTTTTCTTGATCATCTCCAGCTTCTTCATCCTGGTCCAGGTTGAGGTCCTGGGGCAGCTCCATGGCTTCAGGTTCAGGTCTCTTTTCCTGCTCACCATGATAGGGGTCCACCTCATTCTCATCAAACTCCCTCTGAAACCAAACAAAAGCAAAAACTCAGACACGACTTTAGTTACACTGTGAATATCTACTGAATTTGCTATAATGTTTATTATCAGTGAGACAAACAGTACAGTTCTCCAGTGTGTCCTGCTCAGTGAATCAATATTGCTTTTCCTATTATACATAAATGACCTTCCAAAAATATTGAAGTATTCAAATATTTTAATGTATGCTGATGATACTGTTCTTTTTTGTCTGATTTCAATATTGAATCTATTAATAGTCAGTTACAAGCAGATCTTCAGACATTTAAGTAAAGTAAAGGTGCTTTATTGGTCATCAGTGTATGTTTCCACACAATGATGAAATTTGTGCTCTGCATTTGACCCATCCA